CTTGAATTCACGGGGGCGACTGAAAGAGGGGTTTCAAAATTTTATTTTTTGGTCCCGAATCCCATGTCTTTCTCGCTAGAAGGCACTGTTTTTGAAAGAAGCCAAATACGAGAGATGCTGAGGGAAATCACTGAGTGGGAAGAACGACCTAAAAGGATTACGCTCCTGAACCTCCGAAGCTATTTTTTCTCTTATCACGACGAATAACTTGCCTGAGTTTAAGGAATAGCTTAGTAGAAGGTCTGCTAACGTTGTCTGATAGGAGCTCTCCTTAGTCTTGACCAGACACTGCTTTAAGCCATTGCATAACCACCAAGCTACAAACGACCATTTTGTAAAGCTTTACTAAGATTCTATGGAGTGATATTTTATTATTTGTTACGTTGTGTGATAATTTCATCTAACGCGTTCTGCATACAAAGAGCAATCACTCGTTATCATTACCTAGGTTGCTCTAAAACTCGCAACTCTCGCAGTTAACCTCCAAGTCCGCTGGCAGTCAAGAAATGGAATAAAACTGAGAGTTGACTCCTATTCCGAGCTACAATAATAAAGTGAAGTATCGCAAGGAATAAAGAAATATGCAGTTGTCAATTCAAAATTAATCCATGGGCCTATCTCAAGTGCCAGTTAGCTTGGAGGTCAATCACGAGCTTGCTCAGAGCTCATCTAATTTTTGGGTATTCAGTTTTTATGGGACTTACTCTTTGCATATATTTTGCGGTCGTACTAGTATATTCCTCTATGCAGATGTTTTCTTTTTCTGCTTATTTGTACGAAAACTTCGAGCTTGAATCTCGCAGCAACTATGAGTTCGCTGCGATACCCACGATTGACTCGCCCTTAAATCGCAGATTTTCTGTCATATTACTCCAGCCTTGATTTGCTAATGTCGGTGCACTCTCAGCAGTATGAAATATTTGCTTCACAGTTGTGGCGGAAAAAGTGCAATAGTGCAAAACCCTATGAGGCTAGAGGGAGGAAGATAAGAAATTGTGAATAGCTTTGGATAATTTTTTTTCTTGCAAACAACCATGGCAATTTGTGTTCATCGGATAATTCGAAAAAAATTCCAAAAATATTTGATCTCAATTGTAATTACGATATTCATTGCAGAAATTCAACAACGGCAGAACAACGCTATATTAAGAGACCAAAAAAAGAAAAAACTTGAATAATGTGGTACCAGCTGAAAGAGATATGAGTAAAGAAATCAGAAGTTAATAAAGTGAACTGAGAAGCATGATATCCAAAACGTCCTAAGTCAAAACTTAGCAACCACCTTGTCAAATCATTGATCAATTAACTACCTACCTATTGGTTGCCATTACATGGAAAGTACTTTACGAAGGACTTTTCTCTTCAATAGGTTTAACAATTCTTGCGCAGGCCACATGCACAACAACTGGAGAATTGGCAGGCGTTTGGGTATCGTGCATATCGGAACTGCTACTCAGAGATGGCGAGTTTCTCGTAGATACTATGTCAGCCGACCGCCTCATTTGTTTTGCCTTTCCCAATTGCTTCGAAGATTCTACGTCAAAATGCAGCTATACTTAAAATTACGAAGAACGTTAAAACTCATAAGTACGCACTCTTAAAAACTATGCTCGTCTCTTCATCATCAGCTGCCAAGTCACTATCGGCCTTTCTCTTCTTCGCCGGCATTGTAAGTGGCCTGTAAGTATAAGCGGACTGAATCCACTTCACAACACGGAAGCTCACATTGTCGTCTTGCCAACTTCACAAATACGTGGAGATTTTGATCCAAGACCCTCATCAGCCTTTCGTAAATCTGATGCTCCATAAAACTTATCGGTAGTTAAACCTGAAACCTAGATCTAGATGACTCAAATCTCGTAGAAATAATCTCTGGGAAATCTCTCTCCTTTTATTTCCAAAAATCATGATTACCATTCTGAATTAATGAGATAATGCTTGCCTTCCTGGAATCTTCGAAAGATGTTAACTGATTTTACACGTCGTGATTTGACTGATTTTGATACTCTGCAAAAATCAATACAATATTTGCAAGAATACATACATTTCAGTAAGTGTGCAGCGGATAGAACAATAAAACGTATAGTCTGCCTTTGATGCAAGACATATAGTCGGCTCCCAGGCGTATTCTAGACGGAGTCAAGCACACATTGCGGCCAAGGTGAAGCGAGCAGATATCAGCTGATATCGATCATGCTCCGGCGTCAACCCGCCGCGTCGCTTCACCTTGGCCGCAATGCGTGCTTGACTCCGCCTAGAATCGCCTGGGAGCCGACTATACACATGTTAAGCACGGTAGCGTGTTCTCGCAGAGACCGCAGTATATCAGCATTTCGCGCTGCTATGAACCTGCTGCTAATCAACTGCAGAGGAAAAGACAGTAAGTAGTAGGACGGGAAATCTCCCACGAAAGTTCGAATAGTCATTGAATCAATGAGTCATTAACGGCTGTGGCTAAATACCTCTCACCTTTCTCGGACCCGTTTATAGTAAAATGTACCGCAGATTAACGTTAACCTTGAAGACCGTGAAAAGAATCAATAATACAAACATTTTTGTGTGGGTTTCCTCCATCCTCTCAACGCTAGGAGTGGCTGTAACATCTTTGGCGGTTTCGCCCTGAAATTTGGTCAGGTACTTATAGAGATATGAATTTTCAAAACTGAGGGGTCAACCTTAAAAACAAATCGTTAACTATGACTTAGGATCTAAACTATTGGGAAATAAGCTAACAAATGATTCCCACAGAAAACAATATGAAATCTGTCACCTTCAGCTCTTTTGGATAATGTGGTCCATATGATGCATCCTTCACATCACTTTCAGCGACACTAAATACAGTGAGAGTTTAGACATAACACATATACGCTACAATGTTTTGGAACTAAAGTTATCTAGTGTTTGTAAACTCCCCATCAGACTTTCAACAATTGACTCCAACACCTAATCTCTAATTTTTTTCACAAATACTGACAAACGAAGATAAACTGATAGCATAAAAGATGCGACTGAGACGGATAGGTCTTATAACAACATTTTAACAATACTCACTGTTCTTGATCTCCAGAAACCCCTCTCAGTGGCAGTTGTTGTTGCTTGAACATTACTGCTTTTGTACTCTTTTTAAATCTCTACGGACAATCTTATGCATATAGCCTACGGAGGGACGCAACGATAAAGTTTAATAAAATTCCTAAACACCACGAACAGCATGCAACTAATCCAGTTTGAATACTGTGCAATGTGCACTTACTACACTATCTCTGGGATCGTAACGGGATTAATGGAATAAGGCGCATACCTGGTAAAACATTCATGACGTGAACAATTTGATGAAGTACACGAAAATGGCTTATCTACCACCGCGCTAACATCCAGAGTGGCAACTGGCTTTTCATCAATCAGATTGTCTGATAGGAAAGGTTCGGTCATTTTGAGCCCATCGTTCTAAACGAAATTGGTTTTGTTGCAACTTGTTATTGCATGAACAACGCATTATAGCTAGAAAAAACGCTCCTCTAATATGTTTAATCCCAGTACTTACGTGCTGTAGAACGCAATCACCGATTTCATCCTGCATTTCATTTTGATCATTTCTGTCGTCAATTTTCGACTGCTCCATTGATTTGTTTGCCGCAGAGTCGACAAATTCAGCTTGTGTGAGCACGTCATCATTAGGCTGTATCACAAAATGCTTAAAAATTACAAAGTTCACATATCAACGGCGAATGGCGAAGACCGCGATACTGATCCAGTTGATCTCACAAACAATGTGCGATTCCGACACGAATCCAAACTTAAATTATTGTTGAAAGGTCATCTCAATTTATATCTTCAACGAGAAAGTTAATACTTTACGAAGGTACTGCCCTTAAGAACGGTCTTTGAAAGCAATAT